GCTACATGGGAATGTAGAGGAAGCTACATGGGAATTAGAAGCTGAAATGAGAGAAAAGTACCCAGAATTATTTTTCGTCACCGGTATGTTTTAAATTTCGAGGACGAAATTATTTAAGGAGGGTAGATTGTGGAGTCCCATAATTTCTTAATTTTATACACCTTTTTTTCCTACGTGCTCATTTTGATTAAACTTTTAGACTTCTCTTTTTTATTTAATCTTGCTTAAAGGGGGACATCTTTTATTTAACTTAGGTTAGTTAAGTTTGGGTTGAAATTAATTTACTACGAACCTTATAAAATGGTTATTAACTCTTTTGGACTAGGAAAGTGAGGTCAAATGGCTTTCTTGGAGTGGCAAAGTTTGCCACGTAGTTCACTCCATATGCCGACCCAAGGACATTAGATTAACTTGTTGGTGAAAAGAATGTAGTTGAGGTGTTATCATGTAGGGCTTTTTAGGGTGCTTAGTAAGCACCTTAGGGTGATGACTATTGAAGCCTAGGTTGGTGATTAAGCAAGCCTATAGCTAACGTGGAATGGTGGAGTAGCATTTTGATGTTGAAACTGATAACCAATGAGAACCACTTTGCCGCCTTATTTATGGTATAAATAGGAGCAATGCTCCATATGTGTTAGATTTTTCCTCTTGCAAAGTGCAATACGCCCCGTATGTAGAAAGTGTGTAAGAGAGTGTTAAAAGGAGATAAGCAAAAGAAGTACTCGTGGAGTAAGAAGAGAGGATTCAAGGTAGGGGAATTTGGGGAATTAATTGATTGCATTTGTTACTTGTATTACGGGAAATATTGTTATGTGGACTTGAGATGTATTCAACTATTGACTTAGATATGATTGTTATGTGGTATATTATATATTGGCATGATCATTATCATTTGTCAAAGAAGTAAATGAGTTACTTGTGTTGTGGGAAAAGGTGGAAATTAGCTTTTGTGTAGTTGAGTCTGCTCATTGTGAAACCAGTTCCAGGCGAGCCCGATGTGCACAATAGAATAGGATATCGACGGAAATTGTCGATGTGGGTGATTTGGGCTGGAGATCAATGAATCAGATAAGATGACTAGCAAAAGGGATTATGAACTTGGGTGAGTTGATGGGGGTTATTCTATATATTAAAGCACTCGGGGCCACAGTGGTAAAATGCATGGTATGGGACATGCATGTCTGGTTGCTTCAATATATAGGTTAACGGGTTGGGTAGAAAAGAAGTATTGTTCTTGCATTACATTATTCATAAAATATTCATAACATTCATAATATTAATCACGTGAGACCTTGGGCCCCTACTGAGCTTTTAGCTCACCCCTTATTAGTTGTGTTACAGGAGAATAGACAGGAATCTAGTGGCTGACTCGGAAGAAAGAGACTGCTTATAAATAGTTTAAACTTGTTATGGAGTTGTTGTCGTTTTCTCTTACGTGTAATGACAATGTAAATTATTTTGTTTAATGAAATGTTTTAGTTCAACACAGACACCTGTTACTACCTTTAAGTTACCCTTGTTATTCATGCTCCAAAAAAAAAAATAAAATAAAATAAAAATTTTAGGGCGTGACACCTTGCCCGGCCTACATGACCCCAGGCGATACCGCCACTCCTCCTTGAGCTGAATTTGAAGCTCTCTGCTTTCCTTCCACCCCAATTCGAAGATCTCGCCGGCCGATTTTCAATTGGGCTGTGGTATTTGGGTATTCTCCCAACGGCGAAAAAACTGAAAATGAGCTTAGTGGGATGGGTGAAGCAAGGAAGATGAAGCAAATGGGAGGGGCAAAGCGAGGAAGATGTGGAGATGTAGAGACGTCAAGATTTCGTCCCACTACGACTGCAATTGTGGAGTATAGCTGTGAAATGAGATGCAGGAAGATGTGGGTGTGGATTGGATTGTGGGAATCGGGTGAGTCAGAGAGGGATTGAGGTGAGGTTGAAGATTGTGAGGGAGAGAGTGATTAATTTTTATTATTTTATAATAAAAATTAATAAAATTTTAATATAAAATTGATTAGGCTATTTAGTTTTAGGAGTGGAGATGCATTTGGTCTATTATTGTTCATTATGGTCTATCACTGTTCAGTAAGTGGATTAAATGGGCTGGGTGCTGGCGCATTTTTTTAAGGGTGGAATTGCTCTTAGCCGAAAGTGGATGCCAAGTTGGCCACTATCCAACATGGTTTCTATTTAGTCAACATGTTTGACTTTTTCTAATCTAATAAGACTGTAACAAATTTGATTTTTTCTATTAATTTTTTTTTAATTAATTAGCAATGAGGGTAAACTTGTCCTTGAAGGGTTTACGTGAAAATGAATTAAAAATCTTAGGGGGTATTAATGTAAGTTTATAAATCTGAGCGAGTTTTGTGAAAACATAGAAATCTTCAATGGGTGTTTTGTGTAATTACCCCTTTAGGTTTACTAGTCTCTGTGGGTTTTTACGTAAAATGGATGATTAAGTTGAAATGCAAAAGGTGAACAAACCAGTTATTTGACAACTCATCAGTTTGGTTCTTTAACTATTGCTTTGGTCATCAAAATTATCCATGACATTCACTTTTAGAGCAACTCCAGCCTTGCTGGTTGCTCGGGGGACAGTGGAGAGGAAAGGGCCCGAGGCCATGTGGACTGAGCTCCAGCCGTGTGGAGCCCGAGCGACGGTGGGAGCCCGAGCGAAGGGGGGTGGGGAGTCGACGGGCCTGTGGCCCGAGGGCTTTGCAATTTTTTATTTTTTTTTGTGTCAGAGAGAGAGAGAGAGGGGGGACCGGAGATTTTTTTTGTGTCAGAGAGAGAGAGAGAGGGGGGGACCGGAGCTGGGCTTCCATGGGTGCGGAAGGGAAGTGGGTCGTCGCGGGGGGGGGGGAGGGTGGGTTCGTCGCGGGGGCGGGGGNCAATCCGATACCCATCGTATCTTCTTATTCCCTCATAAACTGGCTTGAGATATGAAATGTAACAATCTTCAATGCCTACGTCGAGAGTAACAAAAACAGATGCTTCCACTTCAGCTCATTGTCGATATTAACCTGTTTGAAAAAAATTCCAGCACAGTTAATGAATAAATTTTGACGAGATTCCTTAACTTTTAACGCCAAATCCAACCTGCCGGATAATTTGATAATTTTTAATGCCAAATCGTAGCTTGACTATTAATATAGAATGAGAGCAAACCTGCTTGTTAGAACCATCAAGAAGGACAGGCGTCGATTGCTGAGGACAAGTTAACTCTTCAACTCCTCCACGGCTTCAAGCAGTCGGTACAAACAGGGCACCACCTGCTTAAATAATTATAAAAAGGAGAAACAAAATCATTAGATTTAGCATTGCCAACATAATTTTATGTGCTCTTTCTATTGACCTTGAATTAAATGGTCCACTGGCCAGGAGGATCCACGACGGGTCCTCTTCGTGAGGATTACCTTCTGATGTGCACCCGCCGCTCAAGGTTAAGCAAAGCGATTGCCTTCGTTGCTTGTGTCCGAATCAAGTCGATTATGGTGGTGTTTACCACAATTCCGGTCTGGTTCATCACGACCACCATAGGATTACCTTTGAAGTTCCACCGCTGCTCAAGGTACCCAATGGCCGGGGGGCAAAAAAAATATTGCACCGCGTACCATGGCATCTTAGACCTCCATTCCTTAAACTGCTCTTCTCCTCCTTCGGTCCAGTCCTCAACAACAGGGATCCACACAATCGCACGCTTGTTATGCCTATCGATTCCCTCATACACTTCTTTGAGACATAAAATATCTTGATCAGAAACATTGTCCAGGCTTGAAATGTAAAATAAAACACACACTTCCCCCTTTAGCGCATCGATGTTAAAAACCTGTACGTGAAAAATAGATAAAAGAAGATAACTACAATTAAATAAGTTTCTGAGTAGTATTACATATATGAAAAAAAATCAATGTCCTAGGTAGACTTTGTCTCGCACTGTCACTGCATCTGATAACTTCAACTTCTTGAACGTCTTTCAATTCTGTCGTTTGTGCTCTGCTTCGCTCGTTGCTTCCATCAGATTTTGTGGGAAGAGTACACTGACAGATACATTAAGTTTTTCCTCATCTCCGTAGTTTCCGTCGTATGGTCTCTCTTTTGGATCTTATGGAGGAAACGATGTCTTTCTGGTGCGGAGCTTGACGGCGGAAGGATAAATATGATTGTTGGTATTTTGGATTCAATCCCGGGTGATTATTTCGAGCTGAAGTCCAGAGTGATTTAAATTTTCATTTGGATGTATCGTTTTTTATTTAATAAATACGATTTATCTTTCCTTATTTTCCTTAATTTCTGATGCAAAATTAAAGAAACGGGTACTGGGTAGTGAGAAACTATAGGGAGAGGGGAGACCGTGAAGAAAGATGAGAGGGTAGAAATCGGTGTTGGAGCTGCAAGGTTGAACCTGTGTTTTTGGTATGAGGTTTGTGTGTTTGTTGGAGTCTCAGATGTGATTTGAACGGTGGTGCTGGAGACTGCTTATTCACAGAGAGAAGAATTTTTGAGTCTTAAAAACACAGGTTAAAAAACAACAACTAAAATAGGATACCATTTTTGAGTCTTAAAGAAAATTGTTTTCAAGAAAAGTTCTTAAGAAATGTTTTGAGAAATTATAAAAAATTTCAAATAGGATATCAAACAAGGTGTTTTTGGTGTTCGCCCCCCTCCCCAGATTACCCAAAAAATAAGGAAGATAACTACAATTAAATAAGTTGCTGAGTAGTAATACAGATACGAAGAAAATCAATGTGCTAGGGGACCAAACCTCCTTGCTAGTGGGATTAACACTGATGATGGGAGGCTGCGGATACGCTTTATGCTTGAAAAGAACCAGCCTTTGGAAAACCTCGGTAATTTCAGGAGGGGCAGTGCGTATAAGTTCCCAAAACTTTTCCTTGGCCTTTGCCTCCTCTGTATTAATTAGAAAAAATAAAATAGATTCAACAATATTGGACTAATGGCAAATGCAATATATAATGTCCCTCGGGAGTCATATCATGCATCCACAACCGACCTTTTTTCTTGTTGGCAGATTGTAAGCTGTCCATCAAGCTTGTTGAGGATGAAGCCCATTTTTTGAGAAAAAGGGGATAGATCATATGACTTAATGTCCCTGAAATAATTTAAGAGCAAATCAAATGATAGTCAGATATAATTAGCAAATTTATAATATACCAAACCTTCAAGATGTTTTAACTGCAAGAAATCCAGTTTTAAATTTGGATTATAGCAAATTTGACTTAATGTCCCCGAAAGTTTGGATTGTAAGAAATCTGCCAGTTTTAAATTTGGGGGGTGGCTAGTTTTAATTTATGTTAGTGGGTAAGGTGTGGACTTAGTCTCATAGGACAATTGTATGCACCATATTAGTTTCCTAATTGAAGGGCTTAAATTGCTTTTAGCTAGTTGTCTTTGTTTTGTAGTGAAGAGAAGAAGAGATAAGATTGTACAAACAACCAATGTTTGAATCAATGAAAATATCTTGCAGTGCAGCTACGATTAGCTCCTACAATTCTCTCTGAAATTCTCTGTGTTGTTCTTCATTCCTTGTTCTTAGAAATTACATCACAAAAACACTGTCAAATATAGATTTTAACAAAAAGAACCCTTTTAGTTTTACACACACACACACATAAAACCCGTATACGTAGTTGGCAAGAAGAAATGTTTTTGTTTTTCTTTTATCAAATCTTAATAGAAAAATTAGTACAAGAACTTACTCGTCACCGGTAAGAAGTGAGAGCTCAGTTGTGCAAGCTACAAGAGTTATGATTGACCAGAAGGCATTAAATGGGGTATCCATAATTACCCTCGCCAATTTTGGTTCACTGTCTCGATCACCAGAAATTAGTTTCTCCAACTCAAGGATGTGCTCAATCACTTGTAACGCTTGGTTGACCAGATTGTTAAGCTCGACTACTGCATCTTGGCGTTTCAGCGTTGTCGATTTCTTGGAAAGTTGGCTGGAACATTCTTCATATTCCAAAGCAAAAATCGCCAGGGCCAATACTACCTGTACTTCACATGGATAACTTGATAGTCTTGTAAGTATTTCTTCCGTACGTGATTCAAAGGCAGTTTCATCACCTGGACTCTTACACGACGTCTGAAATTGCATCATAGTGTTGTTAACAACATAAAACGGGACAATAGGGTTTTCATCTTTGGATAAAATTAACACTTTTTCATTGGAAGATGCATCAATGAAGATACGATTAAAAGTGCTAAAAAGGAAACTAAAAAAATCTTATTAATTTAACATCAAACTTCAATCAAATATATTTGACAATGACAATATAATTTCTTAAACAAAAATTAAACAGCATTCTCATTTTCACCAGTAATTACTAAAAGGATTACCAAATTAAGAACAAAAAGAAAAATAGTATTCAGTTAATACGATGACCTTGCAGCCAAAGGAGTTAACAAGAGTGCACAAGCTGGAGCTGGCTTTGGGTGTTTCAACATCATTAAATCCGCTGCCCTGCGACAAGACATGCAAAAGTGGTAATCATCTTTGGGTGTTTCAACTAATATCTAATTATTCTTAAACACTAAGACATTACTGAAGTGCATTTCTTTAAACATTTAATCTGAGTTTTTTTTTTCACAAATCAAGCTATCCTATATTGACGAGGAAAAGGATCCTTGCCGGATCCTTTTCCTATGGATCCTAAGGATCCCACAATCGTGTTCGTTTATCGTACATTGTGCAGTCAGAAATTATTTAAAATTTAAAATGCAAATATAAATATTACCTAACGAAAATTGACCGCACAATGTTATTGTTCATCGTACGGACATGATTGCGGGATCGCTAAGATCCCTAGGAAAAGGATCCTCGCATGATCCTTTTCCTATTGATGTAACATTTAGGCTATTTTTGGGTACTGCTGATCAATAAATCGAGTCAAGTTTCAAGTTTGCAATTAGAAGTTTGTCCATAGTGTAATTCTCATAACATAACACTCAGAACGGGAAGAAACAAAAAACAGTCGCAAGGAAAAAATATGAAAAGAAGAAAAAAATCACGAACAGTTTAGAGTTGTCGAGTGCCCACTATTATAAAAAAAAAAAACACTAAATGAGCACTATTTTCTTTCTGCTTAAAGTTATTAAGAGCAGATAGAAAGATGCAGCAGTATAAATACCTGCTCAATAATATTGTGAATGATGTTGGCCGAATCCTTAATGATTTTCTGACTAGTCGAGAAAATAGCATGAACATCAAAGCTGGCATGGCCCTCATCAGGAACAAGGTAATTAACTGCAAAAATGAGCTTCATTATTTCGTTTTGAGGCCTGTCGAAAAGGCTGATCCGTTCACTACCCTCACCCTCACCCTCACCCTCATTCATCCTCATCCTCATCATCTTCCTCATCCTCTCCTTCTCTGTTTTTCTGGTGCACCCTCTGTGCTCTCAACTCTTAGAAAACAAAAGACCACACTATTCTTTTCACCAAAGAATGGTGCTTTCACCGAAAACATAGCCTTTTTCCATTTACAGAAGTCAAAAGAAAAACAAGGATTGTTCCCTTTGTCTCCCCTTTTCTTTCTTAGCCGAAAGTGGATGCCAAGTTCACCAAAGAATGGTGCTTTCACCGAAAAAAAGATCCTCTCAGTGTTATTTTTTCCCCACTTTTGCACAGAAAAATGGCGATTTTGCCCATCGTCTCAACCCGTCGATCATCATTCCTGTTTTCCATCTCTCTTCTCTCTCTCTCGCACTCCCTTTTTTCCTTCTCCAGCCTTTGCATATTTCTGGTCTCCGTTATCAACGTCCGTTTGCAAATTTTCTCAATCCTGCGAATCTATTCGCAGTGTTTGTGCTTTTTTCCATCTGGGATTTCCGGGTTGTGGCCGGAATTTTGGCCGATTTCCACCCCTTTGGGCGCGGCCTATCTTCAGATCACTGTGGAATCGATCTTATTTAGCTAAGGTGTGTTTTATAATGATTTTATTTCAGTTTTATTTTGAATTTTTGCTAATTTGGATGAAACCCTAACGATTTCGTTTTGCTGTCAGTTGTGGCGCTTTGTTGGGGCTTTCCAGGCTAAAAGAGTATAAATTTCCCAGAAACTCGACGAACTCAGAGAAAATAGTTGCAGCAGCTGTGACTTCTATTTTTTTTCTCTCTTGGAAATGGTATGAACTCTGATCACTCTGTCTCGATCAAATCTTACAAAGTTTTCAGCTTTTTCCAATTTTAATTTCTGGGTTACTGTTCTTTGATAACTTCCTCATCTGGGCAATCCCAATTGTCGTTTGTATTTTCATCTGGGAGGAGTTCTTGAATGCTAATTAATCAATGTTAGTAGATTGTTAATTATTAACTTGATGTTTAAGCATGGACATTTGGGAATTTCCAGGTTTACAGTTTTGTAGATTTCGTTTTGCTGTCAGTTGTGGTGCTTTGTTGGGGCTTTCCCGGCTAAAAGAGTACTTTGCGTTTTTTGGTTGCTCAATTGGATTGGAATCATAAGTAATCGCTATGGACATAGACATTTTACTTGAAGCGTCAAAAGAACACCTCGACGCCAAAGCTTCCCAGGTGCATCTTCAGAGTTCCTGAAGTTCTCCGCAGACATAACGTACTGGCATACGCACCTGACATTATCTCAATCGGGCTTTATCATCCACGAGACAATGTACAATTTCAAGCTATGGAAAAATCTGAAATACGAGTATTTGCGCGACCTTCTCTTACACATGGATCGGTCACACGACAGGGATATGGAGTTAGAAGCATCGATCAATAAACTCATCAATTACATTTTAGATCACAAGAAAGTACAAGCCATGGCTGAGTTTGAGAAAAAAGCTCGTGATTTTTATGCGCATCCGTTTGATCCTCTGATGAAAATGGAGTTTCTCCACATGATGATACTTGATGGTTGCTTCCTAGTACAAATATTTAGGAAGTTTGTGAATAAGGAACAGAGGGACATTAATGACCCTTTATTCAACATGGATTGCATGTTCCAGTACATATGCCATGACCTTTTGCTCTTAGAAAATCAGATTCCTTGGTTTGTCCTCCAGTCCATGTATGAGCTCACCGTGAAGTATTACCAGAACCATGAGCGCTGCCTCTCGGAACTCATCCTCACCGCGCTCAGCTCACAACCACAACTGTCCCATAACTGCCGGTGGTATCTGGATCATCTAAGAGGAAATAGTTACAAAGAGGACGAAAGTGTGCTCCACATTCTCGATCTCATAAGAACTTCCATAGTTTTCTCATTCACCGAACGCTATGAGAAACCTCCCTTCGATGCAAAGATACAACTGATAGCTTCAGCAACTGCTCTTTCTGAGGCCGGCATTAGATTCAAAATGAGCTCCGATGAATGTAAAAGCATAATGAACATCGAATGCGAGAATGGGGTTATTATGATTCCACATCTAGAAATTGGAGAGTTAACTGAATCGATATTCAGGAACCTGATCGCCTTGGAGCAATGCTGTTATGGTCGTTCGCATAAAATCACATCTTATGCCGTTCTGATGGATAACCTCCTCGGCTCTAGCAACGATATAAAAATTTCTCTGCGACAAGGAAATTATAGGTAACTGGCTGAGCGCTGAAACTGGTTCTGAGTTCTTCAGCAAGCTTTACTGCGACACGGTGCTTACTTATTTCTACTATGGTGGACTCTGTACTCGAGTGAAGGAATACCAAACTGCATTGAGGAGGTGGCGAGAAATATTCAAGCGTAACTATTGGTCAGATCCATGGAAAGCCACCTCCTGGACTGTAGCAAGTATCCTTCTGATTCTCACCTTAGTGCAGACTGCATACACCATTAAGCAATACTATTCTCCTCAGGGATGAAGTTTGTGATTAGTTAAATCTGTGGCATGTAATTCATTTTAATTTTACAACGTATTTTTTTTTAGTATAAGAATGTATTTTAATTTTTGTTTTCAGGTATAATAATATCAACTCGTATTTTTTTTAGTATAAAAATGTGTTGTGTAAAGCTAAGATTGTGTTTTAAGAAAACAAAAACACAATAATTTGTCATCCACTTGACTACGTATATCCCCGGAATCTTAAGAAGTATTATAACCTCATTCCAAAGAGCACTTGAGCAAAACCTATATTGGCTAGAAATTCATAACATGCAAAATTGATTCTTTTTCAACATATGCATTTCTATTTCTGTTTTTGCAACAGAGTCAAATCCAACCATCAGATTTGGCCTAAAAAATAATCAGTTAATTGTACTTTAAGAAAAGAAAAAAAAGATTCGCGCTTAAATAAAATAGTTTGAACCACGCCAATCAATTCATTTGGTATGCCAAATTTTGATACACGAAAAGTTTGGTATGGTAATTAGTATGAGATTTTTGGTACAGTAAACATATCGAAACCACCAAAACGATCTCTCATTTTATTGATTTTTGGTAAGGATGATTTTCAAATGAAAATTAAGTTTGAACTGTTTTGATTAAAAATGTATACAGTGAAATTATGTTATTCGCAATGGTGAGTTTTGTGCATTTCCCTAATGGGGAATGCAAGTATTATTCATAAATAGGTTTTGGTCTTGGTATTAAGTAAATGAAAATGGGTCATTAGATAATCAGAGAGTTGATAACTAATGCAACGAGAAACGGAATAGCTAGGATCAATCATCGTCAAATCCTAGATCATAAGCTGAAGTCCACTTGCAATCTGAAATCTACCAAAAAATAGAGAAAATTCTAAAGTTGAATTAACAATAAAATGAATAGATTGTTGAAATTGAACCCTAAAAGTTGTTTATATAGTCTTATTAGCAAACACTAGCTACAAAAGGAAAATAAAATAGGAAGTAATTAAAATTATAAAGACTTCCAAAAATATCAAAAAATACGGAATAAATGTTTCTAGCAGAATGGTCCCAAGACCAATAATCCTGAAACTTAGGTGCAAGTTTTTGGAGAACAAGTCTTGAGACTAGAAACCTAGATATTTGTCAAAACTGACTCTTCTTTCTTTTTCGCTTGTCAAGCTACCTGAAAAGTCTAGAACATTAACTTTTGACATATGACAACAATAAATAATCTGCTGACCCTGGAATTTTCAATTCTCCAGTCACTTTTCTTCATTAAATGCCGCTTCCTTCTTTTAATTTTTTTACATCTTATTAGGGCCCAAAATTTACTAAGAAGCGCAATTATATTTGGAAGCATAATCATTATATATTCGTCACAAAGCTTAAATTTTTGCATAGAGTGCAAAAAGATGGGTATGCAAATTCACAATCATGCCACGACAATAGAGATGATAATTCGGACATTCGAAAAATCACGCTAAGCCCATGCAGCACACCTATTCATTCATTATGCCAAGTCATATCAAAACAATTGTAATATTAATATATCAACATTTTAATTCGAATTATGCCAAACATCCGACACTAAAATAGGCCTAAGCCACATAATGGGGCTTGCCGAGTGGGTTGTGGTATGGATGATTACGAAAGTCTGAGCCTAGGTGGAATTAAAGCTTGTGAAGATTTTAGGACTCCATAAAGACAATGGCTCAGGATTTACTCCTTACTAGCATAGTGTGACATATGCACTTAACATCACAATAAAGTACATTAACAACTCACAAACACATGGAGTATGATACATCACTGAAAACACTACAAACAATAAGATGAAAACACATGGAGTATGATTCTTTAGTTGAAGTTTTATAACCTATAATAAACAAATTTGTTTATTATAGCAACTCGGGATTTTCTACTACTTTTTTAGAAAAATTGCTTTTGTGTTCCTAAAATGCCTTTCTTCTACTAATAAAACTGAAATGTGGTTATTTAGCTCCAAACCTACAACAACTGATTATCATTCCAAACTATGAACTCCTTTTGAACTTTAGAGAGGGAGAGATGAAAATTTGCTTAAGATTATCCATCACTTGTCTCCAAAATGGTTTTCTTGCATGTCAAGGCACTGCACTTCCAGCAGATTTATTTATTTATACTGAGTGACACCATTTCAAATTTTAAACTCTTTCGACATTGTTTGCTGCCATTGCATGTAACCATAAGATGAGTAAGTGTCTGGTGATGTCCCTGATGCTTTATTTAAGGCATTTATTCGACAAGCATGCATAAACATAAGAACCTACTATTAAGATTACCTGGTTTCCTTAGAACAGTAACTCTTCAAAGACAGCCAACTTATGTTCAACACAGAACACATCCCGGGGGATCTCCTTTCCCGTTAAATCAAGCAAGGAAGTCAACGGAACAGTTGAGGTAATACGAAAAAATGGGTTTCGGCTGACCAAGATTGATATAGTTTGCACTATAATTTCATGTGTCTCGTGAATTGACCACGACTCTCCAAGCATTTTCCTGAAAAATGCTAAATTTAATCAATAAAATATTTAGGATAATAAAAATAAAAAAAATTAAAGCAAAACACAAAAACAAAGTTCCATGAACATTGGATCTCATGCTTTAGCCATCACTTGCAAAAACAAAACTATGTTTGGAATCATGACATGTTTGGCAATCCAAAGCAAAAAACTACAGTGCTAATAAAATTGTTAATATTAATGACAACCATAAAGATGATAAGACAATTTTAGGCAGATGAATCCACACTCTTAAAAGTCTCTAACTTTAGTTTCTCCCATGGCCCTGATGTCTAACCTCTCAAAATCAAAAATTAAGTGCACATAAAATAAGAGGGTACTGATAATTAATTTCTCATTTCAGAAAATTCAGCTAAATAAACCACCACAACCACATGGTCATAAAGAGTCTTAAAACAAGGAAAAGGTTAGAGACAAAACTCAAACTCAAAGCATCTTTTATAGTTCCCAAAACGCACACAATAAGCACTGTCCATCCCTTTTCCTTCAATAGACAATGCATCAACTGTATGCGCGCATGCATGCATCCAGATAGAGAAAGTAAAAAATCATAACATACAGCTGCCCCCTACCTAATCCTGTGAGAAGCCTGCGTGATAAACGCCTGCGGACGAACTCCCACTTCAAATCTACTACATTTTTCACTAACCCAGATTCCATAACTTCCAAAGTAAGACAATGCCAACACCTCGTTTTGTTGCAAATGAATGTTACATCACACCCAAAAACAACCTCGCAACTTTTTAAATCCAATAGAAAGTCCCTCTTACTAAAAGTATCAGGAAAACCACACTCACTTTTTCCTTGCAACTGCTTTGACGGACCAAGTTGGGTGATGCCATTACCACTTATGCTTTGGTTCTCAGAAGATCGATATCTAGACCGAGTTGACCTCAAATTCCACTCAGGTCCTAAAACTTGATCCTTGACCACGGGTTTTTGGTGCATTTTTAGTCTTTTTAAACTTTTTAGCATCCATCTTGCCTTTCAGGCCCTCCTTGGTGGTTTTCCTAATTTCCTGCTGTTTTGCAAACTCCAAAGTCTTTAAGACTAGCTTTTCCAAGCATTGTCCACTCAACACACTCTTCTTCAGGACAACTAACAGAATTTTTCCACTCAGAAATATTTAGTTTGGCAATGGCTGATTTATACAGGTTTTCAGCATGAGATAACTTATCTGAAGATGTACTTCTTGTATTTTCAAAAATGCTTTGGAATAAATCACCAAGGTTCTGATTAACTGTTGCTTCCAGCATCAATCTGCACTTCAAACAAGAAACAACAGAGCTGCTGTCCCCCAAATATTCCTTTGCACTTTGACGTTCAATTTCTGCCAAGTCCCAAAGCTGCTGCTTATGGTACTGCTTTCCTAAAGACACGCAAAATTGAACTGTAAATTAGCCAGGTATTACAATCTATTTATTTTGAAACCAGCGGCAAATAGGGATGGCAATTCTAACCGTTAAACCCGATAACCGTGGATAACCGCCCGAATGGATTGGATTTGGATATGAAAATTCGGGTATGGTTTGGATATGGGGAAAAACCGTGAACTTTATTCGGTTATGGTTTTGGATATGGTTATAAGGGTCCCCAATCCGTATCCGTCCCCGAATCCAACCCAAATATTATATATATATATATATGTATATATTTGATATATAATATAATTTTATTCAATTTATCGAACCCTCCCTATACTAATTCATTATGCATGCATCAAACCCTATACTATCATTATTATGCACCAAACATCATGCATGGGGCATACCAACAACCTTATTAATTCCATACTCTTATTGTTATACTCAACCAAATTAATTCATTGAATCATTTTATATATCAATTATCAAATGTTACAAGTTTATCAGATTCGTCTCTCTTCAAGAGTCTTACTGTCAAGAAATTGGTGCATGTTATCATGAACAACTTCAAATATATTGTTATGTTTTTTGTAATTGGATGTTGCTATTTAATGACGGAATTAGTATCTACTAAAATTTATAATGCGTCAATTGGATGAATATAATTTGTTTTTGTTTTTTTTGACAAAGATGGATATAACCAATAACCGATTGAAAACCCGTTATCCGGTGAATATGGTTATGGATAATCCCCGATGGTTAATTTGCGGTTATGGATATGGTTAATTTTCGTGGTTATGGGGATGGATATAGCATTTCCGTCCCCAAACCGAACCATTGCCATCCCTAGTGGCAAATGAAGAAAAAGTTGTTAGACATTGAACAACAATTGAAGAGAAGTTATACCCAAGACAGTAGAAAAAACAATTGTAAATAGTGGTAAGCTTTGTGAGCAGGAAAAAGCTTTTCCAAATTGTAAAAAACCTTCGGCCTCAGCTCCATTACCAATGATTTCGAGGATAACCTGCAGGTTATATTGGAGATCCAAATTCAAATCCAATCTTTGTAAAAGAAAGTTCCAGACTTTAA